CAGCAGGATATAAGGACACAGAGTCCACCATTTTCTTCAGGGGAACTGATCTCTGTCATCTGGAAAGCAGTTGTAATTCTGAGTGATCTTCAGCCCTCACCTGGAGATTTGCAACCATGGTTTCCCCCAACAGACTCTAAGAAGAAATTTATTTTGCCTCAGAACATCAACAGCAAACTGTTTAGAATGTTAGAGGGAAAGGCCAGTGAGGCCGCATATGCAAACGACCTCTGTGTTCCGAGGCAAAGGCAAATCAGGCCACATATGCAAATGACCTCTGTGTTCTGACTGGCTGTGGGGGGGAGAGGAACAGCACTCTGTTTAGAATGTTGGAGGCAGGACTCAGGCAAAGCAGCCAGTGGATAGAGAGACCCTCTGAATGACAGATCAGAGAGCAAACTGATTTTGGAGCGTGTTGGAATGTTCAGGGGAATCCATAACCAAAATTGAATTATATATACCGGAGGATGCTTACATTAGGAAACAGGCTCTGTGTCAGAACTAACAAAAAGGTGCGAAAATCCCGAGTTATAGGTAAGGCAAACAACACCCCACATCTCATGCATACCATCCAGCCCTTAGGTCACTATGGCAACCCTGACAGATATACGGTGCCTTATCTACATCCTAGCCTGGCAGATAAGACTCCAAGGCCAGCTCCCTTGGGAACCGGCACTGGGGCACAGCTTAAGAAATGGTTGTGGCTTCTAAAAGCATTCACTCCAAACAACCCATTGACTCCCTTCAGGAATTCCCTCCCCCAATATTATGGCAAGCAGTGAAGTGGATCGAAGAGAAACTAAACTAAAGATTGACACTCCGTACCTTCCCCTCTTTGCCCTTTTTCCACTAGTGTGCTCCTGGAGGTCCTGGATCAGATCGTGCCTCTGCTATTCACTCATTAGATAGCCTTAGGTAAAGCCATCAGCTCTAAACTTCGATTCCCAATCCTCAGAATAATATACTGGTCTACTTTAGAGGGCTGTGATAAAGACAAGATAATGTACTTGAAAAGGCTTTATTCAGTAAGTAATTGAACTGTGAAATCAACTACCAGGGGAGGCAGTGATGGCCACAAGCATAGATAGCTTTAAAAGGACATTAGGCAGATTTATGGAGGAAAGGTCCATCAGTGGCTACTAGCCATAGTAACACCATAATGTTCTGAGTGATTTCAATTTGAAGCTGTGTAATGGTGCCCGGATTTGAAAATGTCTTGTACAGACTGTGGAAACAATTGTGACTTGTCACCACCTTGAAATTAAAGAAGTTTGCAGAAATTGTAACCTTTTACTGTTTGTCTCACGGAAGAAGATAATTGAAATGAGAGTATCTATACACGTGATCCTCATGTGAACTGACTGATCTGATGAATCTTCTGACTTGATGAATACTGACTTGAGCTTTCCTTTTGATGAACTCTCTATCTATCTATTGACTATTTATCTATTGACTAATTATTACATTGAGACTTGGATATTTTGGACTGTATTTAATGTACTTTGGTGCTTTTGGTTATGAGTATGCAATTTTCGTAGATGATACCTTTATAGAATTTGATATTTTCACATTAAAATTATAGAACATGTTTTTTTTTAAAAAAATTAGACTTTAAAACAATTAGTGTTTATAAGATTTATTTTAAAATTTCTTAGCGCATTTCATTACAGTGGAATTGTTTTCATTTCCACATTCATGCTACTGTTCAACGGCAGCCACCCTATGAAAGCCAATGTGGTTTAGCAGTTTAAGCTTCAGAGTAGGGTCTGGGAGACTGAGGTTCGAATCCCCATCTTGCTGTGGAAGCTCAGTGGGTGATTTTGGAGCAGTCACATACTTTCAGCCTAACCTACCTCACAAGGTTTTTGTGCAGTTAAAAAAGAGGAAAGGAGAATAATGTAAGCTGCTTTGTTGCCCACTGTGGAGAAAGGTAGGATATAAATGAAATTAATAAATAATAAATTTAGCTGAAGATGGGAGGCAGATAAAAGGTGGGTTGGTGAATGGTTGAGAAGGAGAGAATGAGGCAGAGAAATGGGAGAGGATGTGGGGAGTTGCCAGGGTAGGGAAATAGCAAATAGTGTGGAAAGAGCAAATAGTGTGGGGAAGGGATACAGGATGAGTGCCACCCCATGAGTCCTTGAGGGTTCCCACGTGAGACTGACCCAGTGGCCAGCATCACAAATGCGGGCCACAGCTTTCCTAGGTAGAGGCTGCTGGGGGGGAGTTTAAGACAGATGGGCAGATAAAGGTAGGTTGGCTGCTGGGAGTGAAGGAGATAGTGTTGCCAACTCCAGGTTAGGAAATTCCTGGTAGAGTTCCCAGGTCCTACCTAGCCACCATTGGGGGGCTCCTGGGTCCTCTCTGGGATCTTCTTCCATGCGTGCTTCAATTATGTCAACCAGAAGTTACATCACTGCATCGCTGACATCGGGGTGATTGTCAGGCCCCCAGTTAAGTCACTCTCCACACACACTATTGGCAGTGAAATGTTTATGAGAGATATGCTTGCTGTAGGTTCAAGAACTTTTGTTAGGGCTGAAGAAAACCCGGGAACTTACAGGTTATAGGTAAAAGCATAAAATTCCACATTCACCCATGTCACACCTACCCCCCTAGCATTTCTATGGCAACACAGACAGATACATGGTGCCCTATCTAACCTAGGCATAGCACAAAGATTCACCAAGGTCAGTCCCATGACAACCAACCCTTGGGGCACAACTTCAGGAATAATTATGGCTTCTACTCCCATGCACTCTCACAACACCCCCCCCCCCCCCAGGAATTCAACATGACAAGCAAAGGGGAAGACAAACAGAACTTAAGGAAACAAACGTTAACCCTGGGCTTGACAGTAATCCTCTAGTTTTTGGGCAAAACTTTTATTTTTCTCTCTTCAAAACCATAGAGTTTGTCCAAAAAATATCATGAGATTATCACAGGTACCCCCTTTGATGTCCACCAGACGGACTTTGTAATGTGTGAATCAGTCCCAAGAGATCACTACACGTGGGCTTCCTCCTAAGTGGGGCTTCTGAATCTGGGGCTGATTCTCCACAAGCAGCTGTGCTGCCCTCGTTCTTCAGTTTGCTACAGTTGCATTGGCCAATTTCACACTATTTGCTGCACTGCTGCATTTTGACCCGCATCTCCCCCCATTTCCCCCCGTGTCTTCTCGATCTCAAAAAACAAGGATCGAGAAGACGCGGGGGAAATCAGGGGGAGATGTGGGTCAAAATGCAGCCGCACAGCAAATAGTGTGAAACTGACCAATGCAACCGGGGCAAACGGAAGAGTGAGGGTGGCACAGCTGCTTGTGGGGAATCGGTCTAGGTCTCCTCACTCCTAGTTCAAAAGTCTTACCAGGCCAGCTCTCTAGTTTAAAGTGCTGGATTTTTATCTCTTTAACAATGTACATTTTGCACAAGGCAGCCGGGAAATGGTGCGTTCATCAGGACAGGACTCGGGGCAAGAAATAAAACCTGCTATTTGCCTCTTGATATTCTAAAGAAGCACAGAATGTATAGCTGGCAGACACTTTCTGTTTGCTTTTTAAAACAAACCCTTATGCTTGTGAAGCATATGGGCAACGCTAGCCAAAGATTTTACCACCTGGAAAGCCAGCTGAATAAGATGTGGAGAAACCAGGGCAGAGCTTTACCAACTCAGCTCTCTTCCATCCAGCAAAACCAACTGAGGAAGTGAACTGATAACAAAGCCAAGGCCCAGAAAAGCGTCTTGCCACAGTGGTCCTTACCAGGTTCTTGAAGAGTGCCGTCACTTCCCTAGTGAAGACAGCCAGATTCAGGAAGCCTGTGGAAAGCTCATGGTTGTTCTGCGACAAGTGGTTGTTTCCAAAGTTTTCTAGAGTTTCAGAGTATTGTTCTTCATTCTCCACATGGGCTAAAGAAAGGGGATACTCAGAAGTAAGATCAGAAGAAAGGGTTGCCAGGTATGCAGTTTAAATCAGACAGTATGGTGTTTGCACTGACCAGAAATAACCCTTAGAAAATACCAGTCCTACGAATGTCTGTTGCTGTTGTTTTTTAATTAAGTAAAAAGTAGGCAGAATGGGGGTGTCACAGTCATTTCATGGATTGGGTCAGGGGGAATCTCATCATTTTCTGGCTCCTCCTTCCCTCCCCCTCTAGAGTCAACTAGCTCTGCTCTAAAGCACCAGAAGTTACTACCTTGCTGGATCAGGGGAATACTGTAGACATTTATCTTGATTTCAGTAAGGTTTTTGATAAGGTTCCACATAATATTCTTATTGACAAATTGGTAAACTGTGGTTTGGATCCTATGACTGTTAGGTGGATCTGTAACTGGTTGACAGATTGCACCCAAAGAGTGCTTGATAATGGTTCCTCATCCTCTTGGAGAGGAGTGACGTGGAGTGCCTCAGGGATCTGTCATAGGACCTGTTTTGTTCTGACAGGCTGGAAAACTGGGCTAAAACAAATAAAATGAATTTCAATAGGGATAAATGTAAAGTTCAGCATTTAGGTAGGCAAAACCAAATGCATAATTATAGGATGGGGAAAACTTGGCAGTAGTATGTGTGAAAAGGATCTAGGGGTCTTAGTAAACCATACACTGAACATGAGTCAGCACTGTGATGCGGTAGCTAAAAAGGCAAATGCAATTTTGGGCTGTATCTACAGAAGTATAATGTCCAGATCATGTGAAGTGACCGTATTGCTTTACTCTGCTCTGGTTAGACCTCACCTAGAGTACTGTGTTCAGTTTTGGGCACTACAATTTAAGGATATAGAGAAGCTAGAATGTGTCCAGAGGAAGGCAACGAAAATGATGAGGGGTCTGGAGACCAAGTCCTATGAGGAAAGGTTGAAGGAGCTGGGTATGTTTAGCTTGGAGAAGAGACAACTGAGAGGTGATATGATAACCATCTTCAAGTACTTGAAGGGTTCATATAGAGAATGGTGCAGAGTTGTTTTCTGTTGCCCCAGAAGGTTGGACCAGAACCAACAGGTTGAAATCAAATCAGAAGGGTTTTCAGCTAAACATTAGGAAGAACTTCCTGACAGAGCAGTTCCACAGTGGAACAGGCTTCCTTGGGAGGTGGTGGGCTCTCCTTTTTCGGAGGTTTTCAAACAGAAGCTAGATAGCCATCTGACAGCAATGCTGATTCTGTGAACTTAGGTAGACCATGAGAGGGAGGGTAGGAAGGGTTGTATCTATAGCCAGTTATAGGGTTGCCAACTCTGGGTTAGGAAATACAGATAGATTTGAGGGGTAGAGCCTGGGGACGGACCTCAGCAGGGTATAATGCCATAGAGTCCGTTGCCCAAAGCAGCCATTCTCTCCAGAAGAACTGATCTTGGAGATCTCCAGGTGCTGCCTGGAGGCTGGCAATACTAAGGGGAGGGCCAGACCTGTAGATTTGAGGGGTAAAGCCTGGGGAGGGCAGGGTTTGGGGTGCGGAAGGACTTCAGCAGGGTATAACGCCATAGAGTCCACTGCCCAAAGCAGCCATTATAATAGCTGGGAAATTTTCTGTAGGGGAAATGATGTGCTGTGGCTGAGGAACATGGTGATTTCTGGGAGATCTCCAGGCCCCACAGGGAGACTGGCAACTCCAGTGACTGTTTAAGGGAAGATTGGGATATGTATTTTACCTCAGGACACATTCAATGACTCCCAACAGCGACAACAAACTGTTTAGAATGTTAGAGGCAAAGGCCAATCAGGCCATATATGCAAATGACCTCTGTGTTCTGACTGGCTACTGGGGGGAGAGGAACAGCAAATTGTTTAGAATATTGGAGGTGAGACTCAGGCAACGCAGCCAGTGGACAGGAACAGCTTCTGAGTGACAGATCAGGGATCTAACTGATTTGGGATCATGTGGAATGTTCAGGAGAGTCCATGACCAAAACAATTATTATATAGAGAGATGGCATAATTTAACTGCAAGATCTTGAAATGTTGATGGAATAAGGAAGACTAAAAAATTAAATTGATTGTAACTGGCAACTTTCACTAAACACAATAATTTTCAGAAAGGAGATCTAAGTGGATCTAAATTCTGCAGGGCCTGTAAGACGGAGCTCTTCCACCAGGCTTCAGTTGAGGCAGCAGGCGCCCCCCCCTCTACTGGGCCCCCTCTTCAGCTGGCCAGAGCTGTTTTACCATCTGGGAACCCCAATCTGAAATAGACCTCATCTGTTGAGGCTCTGGATCAGAACATAGGAATTTTATTGTATTTTATCTGATGCATTTTAATTGTTTTTAATTGTTCGTGTATTATATTTGTGGGGAGGGTGGGATAAAAATCTAACGAAATAAAAATAAAGTTGCAATTAGTTTTGTAATCCTAGACCTATTGCATTGTTTAGTGAAGGTCCTTGCTGTTTCAATTGTTTTTTAACAAATTGTAATCCACTTAGAGTCTCAATGAGAAAAGACAGGCTAAAATCAAGCAAGCAAGCAAGCACATCTATTGTTTTTGTTAAGCCATCTGGTAACCCTATTAGAAGAGTACAGTGGAATCAGACCAAGGGTCCATCTAAGCAAGCATCTTGTTACTTACAGCAGCCAACCTGATGCCTTCAGAAAACTCACAGGGAGGGCACAAAAGCAACAACTGCCCCCAACTATGGCCCCCAGGAACTGAAATTCACTGCTGGGGTGGGCTGCTGAGGTGGACTGGCCATGTAACTCAAATTTCCTAGTAGGCCAGTGCCCTAGAGCAGGGCTCCTATCCAGCCTGTGAGCAACTAGTTCTCTGCTGCTTCCTGCTTCTGCTTAGGGATCCCAAGTCCCCCCGGGGGGCGGGGAAACCCCCACTCCAGAGGCCTGTTCCCCGCCGCCGCTGGAGCGGGCCCCGGGGGGAACTCCACCCCGACGTGTGTGTCACCCGGAAGTGACGCAGGCATGCTGGGGGCGGGGCCACGACCATACAAGGGAAAACTCTATGGTTTTCCCTTGTATGGTCATGGACCCACCACCAGCGTGCCTGGCGTCCTCCCGTCACTTCCGGGTGGCGTGCGCACACAAGACACTGACCGGGAGCCCCCCGCTCCCGGCGAAGATACACTTGGCAACCCTACTTCTGCTTCCTGTTTCCTGCATTGCAGCTCCTTTTCCCGAGTCACTCCTATTTCCTGCTTCACAAAGGACAGAAAGAAAGCTAAGCCTCCCTTTCCTCCATTGGCTGAGGGCTCCTCCCCCTTCTCCTGGGGAGGAAGGGGGAAGGAAAGAGCCAGAGAGAAAGAGAAACAGAGTCCTGTGGCACTTTTAAGAAGACCAACAATGTTTTATTCCAGGTATAAGCTTTTGTGTGCAAACACGCTTCTTCAGAGCCAGAGAGAGAGACCCATGGAACCTTTTAAGACAAATGGCATTTTATTCCAGGTATAAGCTTTTGTGTCAGACAGAGAGAGGGAGGGAGGGAAATTTTAGAGCAACAGAGAGAGAGAGATGGGGTCCCATGGCACTTGGAGATATTCCCCTTTCCAATTCTAACAGATGGGGGGGAGGAAACCTAACAGCACAGCTTGCAGTCTTTATTAGTGGAAGGGAATAAGAGTTTAGTAGCACCTTAATGACTAACAAAATTAGCAGCAGGGTAGGAGCTTTCGTGAGTCACTGCTCACTTCTTCAGATACAGCTAGAATGGAAGTCCATCTGTCCTTATATCTTGGAGAGTGAAGTGATTTCAGACACCAAATGACAATATCCCGCATTGGTATTTAGAGAAGAAACCTAGGTCCCATCCAGGAGGATGCATTGCCTTCCTGAGCTTCATTATCAGTTGCAATTCAGCAGTCTCTCTTTCTAATCTCCCTTTGAAATTCCTTTGTAGAAGAACTGCTACTCTTAAGTCAGCAACTGAATGTCCTGGAAGGTTAAAATGTTCTCCCACTGTTTTTTTAATGTTGTTGTTTCTAATAGCAGTAGAAAGAGTAAAAGTCCATAGCACCTTAAAGACTAACAACATTCGTGGTAGGGTATGTGCTTTTGTGAGCCACTGCTCACTTCTTCAGCCTTATTTCCATTTATTCTTTGCATCCTCCAGGACTGAATTCTCCTGGACTAAATTGAGACCTAGGTTTCCTGTCTCATTACCAACGCTGATATCTCCATGCCTACTACCCCTCTGCATATCACACTTAATCCAATCAAGCCTGCTATTGCCATTTGGCATCTGAAATCACCATTATAAAGTTTATCTCCAGTACCTCATGTTACATTTTACAGCACACATGGCCTGGCGTTACGAAGTGACATTTATGCCAGATCTGGCCCTCGTAAAAAATAAGTTCAACAACTCTGCCATCGAGGGTCACTGCCCCAGCAACTCTTTTGGGGCTGGTGCCTGGGGAGTGTGACGTCGCTTCTGGGCGATACTCTAGGAATTTCTCCAATCTCTATGGTCTTTCTTTAGAGATTGAGGGAAATTCCTAGAGAGCATCATCAAACACCATCTACCCTCCATTTTTCTCCTGCTCAACATATTATTAAGGGTAGGGAACTGAGATCAGGAGTAGGAGCTCTCCCACTGCCACCAGGCCAATGGTAAGCGTAAGTATAGCCCGTTTCCAAATCATACATCATCATATTTTGCAGGCAATAGACTGAGAGAAAAATGTTGCCAGATCTAACCCTGTGTTGATGCCAAGTGGTTTGTAAAGGGTGCTTTCTCCAAAGCCCTGAACAGACAGCAATTACCAGGCAGTGACACTAACCTCCCTCCTTTTCCACCACACCACCATGCATGGAACTTTAACTTACTGAGACCAGAGGTATGAATGGCTTTCACATATTTCTTGATTCGCTGAAGAATGGCTTGGTCGCTGTCCAAGCTCTGCAAGGCAAGAGTACAAAGAGCTCATCAGAGTGCTGGGTAGTGCCAGGCCACACAAAGTCCCTTTGAAGCACCCGTTGTTGGCAGATGTTCAGCACAGCTGCTAGGGTACCGAAAACTGGGTAGATCCCAGTCACAGGAGGGAAAGTGATCTGGCTGGCTGAGATGGGCAGAAAATTCCATGTGGCCTTGGGCCAGAAGGCCGGGTCCAATCTTCTCCCCAGTGCCAGGAGGGGAGGGGCTGTCCCTGACATGATAACATCATGCAAAGTAACATCATCACATCAGGGATGGAGTGTCATGCACACAAACCCCTCCCCCTGCTTTCCCCCAACCATTTAAAGGGAACCCTCCCTTTAAATGGTTGGGGGGGGAGTGGGCACCCTGCGTGCCTGCCCTGCAAGCAATGAATTTGCCACTTGCAGGGCAGGTACGGGCAGTCCCTGCCTGAAAAGGGCAGGTACGGGCAGTCCCTGCCTGAAAAGGGCATGCACGTGCCCTTGCAAACAGCAAGTTCACTGCTTGCTGGGCAGGTGTGGGTGGCCCCTGCTTGAAAAGAGCAGGCGCCGCGCCTGCCCTGCAAGCGGCGAATTTGTGGCTTGCAGGGCAGGCACACACGGCCCTCACTTGAAAACAGCATGCATGGCACTCGCTCTTTTCAAGCAGGGCCGCAGATGACTGCTGGAGGTGGGGCTTCCCCCTGCAAGCCAAGTCGCCAGCATCTGGGGGAAGCCCCAAAAATCAGGGGATCCCCTGCCCCCACCTGGGAACTGGCATCCCTAGCAGCTGGTCCATAGGTAACATGGGGCACATGGGGCCCATGGGGCCTGGCTCCCTAGTGTTTCTTCTGGGCCCCCTCCCTCCAGGGCTGCCCCCCAAAGTGCTCCAACTGACCACCTGCACGGTACTTTCATTTCATTAGCTGGTGGCCCCCCCCGAGGCACTATCACAGTTTGGGCTTTCTGGCGTGTGTTGCTAAAATGTTTGTGCATACTGCTACTACTGTTGTTCTTCAGAGTTCACCTCTTTGGTCAGGGTGTCTAGAAATTAAATCTCAGGAAATGGTGCAACAGGAAAAGAATGGAGATGTAAAAGATAATTTGTTTTGTTTTGATAACTACTGAAAATTGGTATAATTGTATTTTAAGTACTTGTATTTTAAGTAACTGTTACCTGTAGAAAAAGTGGATTTGGGAAAATAGAATACTGAAGTATGGGGCTGGAGGTCGGAGCACTGCTGGAAGCCGGCTGAGGGGGAAAGGGTGGGGGGTAGGATATAGGTTAGGATTGTAATGGTGAATATAAGTTTATGTTAACATGTCTAAATATATCCTAATAAATTGTTTAAAAAAAAAAAAGGAAATGGTGCAACTTATGTTTCACCTCTTTTGCACATCCACACATATTGATGCCAGGGCAACACATAGCACACTCCCTGACATATGCACTAACACATCAAGGCACCATGCAGCACACACCCTCTGCCCACTTTCATGTGCTCCAACTGAGAGCCGCAGTGGTATAGTGGTCCAAGTGTCAGGCTAGGATTTGGGAGACCCAGGTTCGAACCCCCACTCTGGCATGGAAACTTGCTGGGTGACCTTGGGCCAGTTACTCTGTGTAAATCTAACCTACCTCATGGGGTGGTTGTTAGGGGAAAACGGAGGCAGGGGGAACTATGTAAGCCACTTTGGGTCCCCACTGGGGAGAAAGCATACCTGAAGGATCACCTTCTCTGCTACCTGAGCCCTCTGGTAATCTGCATAGATCCTGCTTTGTTTGCCCCATCATCTGAGGCTAGACAGCTAGGTTGCACAGAAGTGATGTCATCATACCAGGGACACCAAAGATGTGCCCCACTCCCAATTTCATTCACCCAAGCATTTCTTCTGACCAGCAGCCAGCAAAGTGAGCCAGAGGCAGAAGATCCTCTACCCCTGCAGGAAATCGGCAACCCTAATTCTACCCAAGATGCAAACAAAATGGGCCTATGATTATGACCTGGAAGATCTTTTCCCCTCACTCTTCCTGATTTTTGTTAGTTAAGTTTATTTAGGTTTAATAGCCCTCAGCCCCGGGAGACTGGACAGCTGTTCTGTGGCTCACAAGGCCCTGTTTTCACCTGCCCATCCTGCCTGGTGGGGCTATTTCCCTTCTTCATTCGCTGCCACCACTCACTGGAGTAACACCGCCTTCCTAGAGGAACAGTGAGACCCCTCTGGCTGATTCCCCAACCCGGGAAAGTGGGTACCTTGATCTTTGGGCGCCCCTCCAATTTGGGCCCGGTTGGGTTCCCTGGCCTCCCTTTGCTTCTGGTAATGTGTTGAGCGGGGAGGACTAAGTGGTCAAGGCACTTCCAGGTCTTATAACTCAAAAAGGTTTATTTGAACTATATACAACTTAGGCACAAAAATTAACACAACCGGGCACAGAAAATAAACAGGATTAAACTGCAATTCCTCTGTCCCTACACACACCCTCTCTACCTCTGGAGGTTGTGGCCTCAGGATAGGATTTGCTTTCCCCCTCCTTGTTGTTGTGGAGAGAAACTCCAGCCCTCCTCGGGACTGGTCACCAGTACTGCTACTCTTCTAGGCTCTCCACCATGGTTTATAGTGGCCTGGATTGCCCACAAAGTGTGGAGTAGCAGGAGTCCCACCTGTACACTCTCTTGAAGCTGCTGTCCAAGCTGAGCCAAAGGCCAAGACTAGGCTGAGACTAAGCCTTTATCTGCCAGGCTTCTGGGAAATGTAGGCCAGGAGGTATGGCCGCCCCATTGTTCCCTATGGAGCACCTCCCCCCTCCAGAGGACTACCAGACTGGCAGCCATTTTAAAATAAACTGCTGCTTCTGCATGGCAGCCATTTCGTTACATAGCCCATAGGCCATATACCATAAAAGAAAATTTTAAGAGTTTAACAGAACAGTAAAACAAAAATTTGCCACATCACGATGCAGTTTTGGCAGAGGCTGCTCAGAAGTAGTCTTAATCTTGCTGCATCAGGAAAACACTGAGAGCCAGACTATGTGTGAAACTAGAGGGTTGTGACTGGATTCCACAATGTATAATTTAGTTGCTTTAAAAAGCCCATATCGGTGAGGGCCATGGTAAAATACATGGATTAACTCATCCCCTATTGAAATTACCTGCTTGTTGCTTTCAGCCACAGTGGAGGAGAAGAAAATAGGTACCTTGTAATACTCACTTTTCCCCTCTCACCAGAGCTAAAAGCAGTTGGGGGGAAAGCAGTTTTAGGGTTGCCAACCTGGGGTTCTCCCAGAATTACAATTTCTGGAGATTTGGGGGTGGTGCCTATGGAGAGGAGAATTCAGGAAGGGATTTTACCTAGAATCTATAGCATATTATAAAGTCCGCCCTCTGAAGCCGCCATTTTCCCCAGGGGAACTGATCTGTGTAGTCTGGAAATCAAATGTAATTCCAGGAGAACTCCAGGCCCCACCTGGAGATTGGCAACTTTAGTTCTCCTGGAGAAAATGACAGATTGCTAGGGCAGACTCTATGGTATCATATCCCTGCATAGCAACCCCTGCCCCCAACCCAAACTTCACCCCCCTGGTACCATCCCCAAATTCTCAGAATTTCCCAAGTTGGAATAGGTAATTCTGCTAGTAGTACTGGACTTATTCAACACATAGATCATAATGTGTGAGTCCTTGAAAAAGAGCAATTGGCCTAGAGTCACCCAGTGATCATCATGAAAGAGTGGCCCTGACCCTAGTCCAAAACTCTGGCCAGTACCCCACACCAGTTACAACCACATCAGTCTCCAGATCAGGATTGAAAAGATGCTACTTTCCCCCAGCAGGAAAATAACACCCAGTTTCAATCCCATAACTTTTAATAGTTTTTGGAAAGGGATATCTCGATTTGTAGTCGATTTTAGGAGATTCAGGCTGGGAACTTTTCAAAACATGTCCGCCATCTTGTGCGACACTCTGCGCCCCCCCCCCATTTGACTTCATTTTTGACATGGAATCTAATATGTACAATATGTACAGCACTCTGAAGTTTTGTAACCATTTTAATTGAGTGGATAGACTGTCTGGAATTGTATCCATTCATGAAGCACCATAAACAGCCTGAAAGTTCGAGGAATGTTTGCAGAATGTTAAATCTCTCTATATAAAAGAAAGTCCCCTCACCGTAAAATCAACGCCCAGGCCAAACCGCTGGACCTAAAGACACCAAATTCGGGGAGAGCACTCCCACCATGGCATAAGTGCTCGCTAAGAAGGGCTTTTTTAGAAATTTGACCCCAAGAGGGTCGAAAGGGGAGAAATGTGCTCCCCCCCATTGATTCCTATGCGGTTGCCAGGCAGCTCTCTCCCTGCACCCCCCACTCTCTCATTGGTCAGCTGCAGATCTCAGAGTTCTGAGGTAAAAAACCCAACAGTTACAGGGGACTGCAGACAGCTAATGACAGCTGAGGAAATCAGGAGTGGCCAGTAAGCACCTGTGAGGTTCAGTAGTGCAGCTGGCCCAGCCTTTCCGATGGCTTACAACACACTCCCCCCACCTCCTACACCTAACAGGCAGTTGTCTGTTGGGTGCAGCTCTACCTCCACAGTAGCTTCTAATACTCCTCCCCCCTCCCCCTCATACACTGGACAGGCAGCTGCCTGTCAGGTGTAGGAGAGGAGGTGGGATGACTTCCAACACACTCCCCCCACCTCCTACACCTAACAGGCGGTTGTCTGTTGGGTGCAGCCCCACCTCCACAGTGGCTTCTAATACTCCTCCCCCTCCTACACTCGACAGGCAGCTGCCTGTCAGGTGTAGGAGAGGAGGTGGGATGCTTAGAGGCACCGGGGAGGTTTGCTCAGCAGGATTGCCTTAGCACTGCAGCTGGCCCAACCTCCCCAATGCCTTTAAATACAATCCCTCCCAACACCAGAAGGGCCAGTGTCTGTCAGGTGTAGGAGCAGGGCCATAGTATGAGAGTTTATGGGGAGATAATAAAAGACATTTCAATGTGTAC